TCTATTTGTATATATTACATTAATTATTATATAATATAATATTTAATTATAATATAATATACTTTATTATAATATACTTATATAATATTATTTATTAAACTTTATTATAATATACTACAATAATTAAAATATAATATTCTGATACAATCTATAACATTACACATATATATTAATATAGATTTATAGTATAAGATAACTATGATGTATGGAATCACACAATCAAGTGAAGAGAGTTAATTGTGTTGATGGAGGTCCTCTAACTCTCCAAATGTCTGGTCTTTTAGGTAAGTTGTTCTTTTTCCTGCATAAGTAACATATCATAAGAGGGCAGGGTGTGATTCCCTGGTTGTTCCTTTGACGATCAAGTAAAATGAACTATTGTAATTCTTAAGTTTAGAGAATGGTGGAAAAAGCTTACATTGTAATAGAAAATTAGTGTAAAGTAATTATAGTATAACATGTTGTAAATTAGTGTAAAGTAAAATAACATATTATATTATAACAACTGTAGGCGTCTAAAAATGCCTATAGGTGTCCACACACAGCTCGAGACTGAGAGAAAATGACGAACATCGTTATCCGAGTCTAAGAGGATTATCTGACGCTGACAAGTGTATGAACCAGAATGGCGAACCAACTATGTCTCGTGTGCTCACCGGCCACTTCCAATTGGCCTTCACACCCGTCGGTCAGCCCGCGTGCGTCAGTCAGCTCGCGCACGTTAGTCAGCTCACGCACGTCAGTCAGCTCGCGCGCGTCGGTCAGCTTCAAGTGCCTGTCGCACTTGTCGGTCAGCTCTAATTACCATAAAGAAGCTAATGAGCGCATGAAACAAGTTAACAAAGCGTACAAGTCAACACAACGGGCAAATAAGCAAAACGACAAAAAAAAGACGAAAGAATGCCCAAGTGCCAAACCGACCCGCGCGGGCGCGCGCGGGTCGTTGCAATCCGACCCGTTCGACGGCGGGTCGGCGCCAATCCGACCCGCGTGGCGGCGACGTCGCGCGCCATCCGACCGCACCGGCGGTCAGCACGAGCCGACCCGCGTCTACGGGGGTCACATCGGTTCGTCTCGTGCCCAGAACTGCCTATAACCTCTAAAACGTGTTTTTAGGCTATTTCGATCGGTTTTTTCTGTTCCAGAGATTACTAACTACCTAGATATCATCTACAAACGAGGTTTGGCCGTTATTGACTAAATATAAGGCTAAATCAATTATACTCATCCAAATACCCCCCAACCGAAGCCTATAAATACATGCCTAGGGGCTCATTTCACGGGGGTGATTTATTATCAAGAGGAGGAGGTGCTGCCAAGTTGGAGAGCAAGGGAGCATGAAATTTAGAGGAGGCTAACTGATCTCGGCGATGTTCTTCAGCATAAAGAAGGAGAGTTCGAGAGATCTGAAGCCCCGTCCGTCCGTTCCTCGAGATTAGGCTTGGTCTTAATCTCGAGAAGAGCTATTGATTTCGCTTGGTCGATTTCAGAGCTTCAAGCGAATACTTCCTTGGTGAAGTAGGAGCTCTGTTAATTTTCTGTCAACCGGATCTGATCCGCGACGGTCCACGGATATCAACGTCCCTAGCACAGGTAAAGATCCCGCGAAAGCAATAGGCGATAAACACCTATTGCATGTTGTTTAAAAGAGAGTTGTAATTTATTTTCATTATATTGAAAGTCTTATAAAAAGGCTATCTTTATTTTGAATTTATTATAACGCCCGAAGTTGTAATGAATTCAGTAATAAAAATAATTTTCTACCCAAACAACAACATACTAAACTAATTGGATAAATTAATTTAGAATTAATTGATAAATAAATATTATATTTTAATAAGGTGCTACATCATCAATTATTCCACATGAATTGTCGAATCAAAACTTCAAATTGTCCCATTATCTCAATTTATCATACTTTATCCCACTCAAAATATCCCAAAATGAATAAAATTGTTCCATTAGAACAATTCTCTCATTTGGCCTCAACTTGTTCTAACCAATAACCCTCAAAGTGAGAAGTTCGTTATTTGGCAACTTACAATGGTTATAGAACAAGCATATTGAAGCTTACCTAAATTAATGAGCACAGAACATATTAAAAAGAAGGGGAAATTGCTTCTAGCCCCCAATTTCATTACAAGTGTTCTACCCCCTCCCAAGACTTTTTTAACGCTCCCAAAACCCCCAAAAACAAACACATAATTCCCTGACCTCCCAAAACACAAAACCTAAGAGTTTAAAACATGTGAAGACTATAATTAATGCTCTCTCTCTCTCTCTCTCTCTCATGATGTTACTGTGATAATTTAAAATGGGTTTAGGGGGAGGGGGGGATTCTAGTTCTCTCCAAAATTTTCTCCAATATTTTTCGATAGCGTCAACATCGACGGTAATACTTTTCCGGCGTTTGTTCATGAAGCAAAGAAAAAGTCATGAAAAAGTAGTATTTTTTGGCGGAATATTTGTAAGGAAACGGCAGAAAGTTTCACCGTCGAGAAGAAAACAACATTCGTTCATCGGTGGAATACTTGTAAGGAATTCGATGACTTGAGATTAAAATAGAGTATGTAAATTTATATATTATTGCTATTTTACGGTAATAAATTTGTTGTTAAGCTTATGAGTTGGTGGTGAAGGGAGGTTACATGTTGGTTTTGAAGGTTACGGGTTGGTTGTGAAGGATACGCATTAGTTGTGAAGGTGTTATAGGTTTGTTGTGAAGGATACGTGTTGGTTGTGAAGGACACGCATTGGTTGTGAAGGTGTTACAGTCTGGTTATTAATGTTACGGATTGGTTGCTAAGGTTAATGAATTGTTGTTAAGGTTACATGTCTTTTGTTAAGGTTACGGGTTGATTGATAAGGTTATGGGTCGGTTGTTAAGGTTACGGGTCGATTGTTAAAGTTACGGGTCCGCTGTTAATGTTACGGGTTGGTTGTGAACCTCGATAACTTGAGATTAAAATAGAGTATGTAAATTTATATATTATTGCTATTTCATGGTAATAAATTTGTTGTTAAGCTTATGAGTTGGTGGTGAAGGGAGGTTACATGTTGGTTGTGAAGGATATGCGTCAGTTGTGAAGGTGTTACGGGTTGGTTGTTAAGGTTACGGGTTGGTTGTTAAGCTTACGGGTTAGTTGTTAAAATTACGGGTCGGTTGTTAAGGTTAGGGTTGGTTGTTAAAGTTACACATTGTGAATGTTACGCGTTCGTTGTTAAGGTTACGGGTTAGTTGTTAAGGCTACAGGTTGGTTATTAAGGTTACGGGTCGGTTGTTAAAGTTATGGGTCGATTGTTAAGGTTATGGGTCAGTTGTTAAAGTTACCGAGGTTATCGAGTTCACAACCGACCCGTAACCTTAACAACCGACCTGTAACCTTAACAACCGACCTTAACCTTAGCAATGGACTCGTAACCTTAATAACCGACCCGTAACCTTAACAACTAACCCGTAACCATGACAACCAACACGTAACTTTCACAACACGTAACCTTAACAACTGACCCTAACCTTAACAACCGACCTTAACAACCAACCCGTAATCTTAACAACCAACTCTTAATTTTAACAACCGACTCTTAACCTTAATAACCAACCCGTAACACCTTTAAAACCGAGCCTTTAATTCATCACCAAAATAGCTACGCCAGCACCAAAGTTTTTACTCCAAAAACTGAACTCCACTTCCCCCTTCATTCCTAAACTAGAAACCAAAAAAGCCAAAGTAAAAGACAACAAAATTAACTATATATAGTCACACTAAGTTCTAAGAAGGGAGAAAAAGGGAAAAAGAAAACCAAATTAAAACAGCATCGACGATGCCGGTAGTGACTCATTGAGATCGAACGACAGTCCCCTCCCACCGACACTCTCGGCCTCCTGCCTCCGGGCCCACCATTACTCCGCGCTGAAAGTACCTCCAAGAACGAGATTCGTCCGACGGTGTAAGCCCTGTCATGTCGCCATCGGCGGCGGAGGCATCATAGAAGGAGGCATTGGGGCCACGAACCAGCTGATCTGGCAAGGTTGCAAGTTAAGATCCAGCGACACAGGCATCGACATCGGAGACGGCGGCGGCGGATTCACGCAGAGATGGGGCGGGGAATCATCATAGATAAAAAAAAAGAGAAAGGGTATTATGGTCTTCACATGTTTAAAACTGTTGGGTTTTGTGTTTTGGGGCTCAAAGAATAATGGGTTTACTTTTGGAGGTTTTGGGAGCGTTGAAAAAGTCTTGGAATGGGGTGGAATAGTTGTTCAAAAATTTGGGGCTAGAAGCAATTTCCCCTAAGGGGCTGTTTGGTTCGCTATTATAAGGGGTGGAAAACTCAGAAAACCCCTCCACGTCAGATTTTTAGCCCTCCACGTCAGCTTTTTTGTTTCCGTCCATTTCTTTGTGCCGCTTTGGTTCGCTCGAATGGAAGAGGGAAAACTCTGCTGAAATCGCCGCCAACTAAGATTTTTTTCCCTCTCCGATTTCCTTCCCCAACCAAGTGAAATTGATGAAAACTCTGACACGTCAGATTTTTTTCCTTCTCTGCTTTGTTTACAAAAGTTTTCCTTTTTTTTCTATGCGAACCAAACACGAGAAAAATAAATACATTGGTTTCCCACCATTTTTATGTGCGAACCAAAGCAAAACAATCTATTTCTTGGAAAAGTTTAGAAAACTCAAAACTTGTGTTTCTTTACATGGAATTGCATTTCTCTATATCAAGGAAACGAACCAAACAACCCCTAAAAAGAATTGTAGATATATTCTTCAGTAATTAAATAGCCATATTAGGTGAGGAAGCCACTATTTCAATTTCATTCCCGACATGTGACTTCTTTCTATTCTTTGACTAACCTAACTCATTTTAATCAAGGATGACCAAAATTAAGAGAAAACTAATTAAGAGAGTCGGTACAGAGATATTTCTTGGGGCATAAGGTTACAAGACCAAAATTAAGAGACTACTAATTAAGAGAGTCGGTAGAGAGACAATCCTTGGGGCGTAAGGTTAGAAGAGAACTACATTAATATCTTCAATTAGTTAACCCATTGCTGCATCTCTCATTCTGTAGCTAGAAATCGATTTGTAAAAAAATAGGTACGTGTTCATCAGAACGACCGAAGAAATCAAAGAGATCAAAGTTTAATCAAATGGGGCCAAGTTGGGTACCGTATCTGTAAGTCAAATCTCACCAAAATTTTGAATTATTTGAACTTTCTTGTTGCCAAAGAAAATGACAACACAATAAAAGACTTGCTCGATTACTTCAAAACGAGCCGGCATGCTTTTGTAGAAGTCTCACTACGAACGGTCAAACTCAACACCCGAAATTTCAAAAATTTCCCTTACCATGTATTTATGTATTTGAAACAAAGTAAGGTATCCAATAAAAAAATCACAGCCTGTTTTCGCTGGAACTTTGGACTTATGGAAGGATTTTGGCATTATCTAGAGTTTTGAATTGAAAGTAGGAGTTTCTTTTTGAGGAGAGAAATGGTAGATAATTGCTTCAAAATTTTCCGTTGAAAATACTTCAACTAGATGCTAACTTAATGCTTTTTCTTTTTCAATTTCTCTGAATTAAGCACCATAATCAACAACTGCAAACAATTGAAACGCATAAGTAATGATCCAATATCTTACCGCCTCAATGTCGATCCTGTACACGAGCAGCTTTTTCCTCTCCCGGCAACTAGTTCTATAACCCACCAGAATATGAGCCATCGCCAGCGCCATGGAGCTCAAGAACAAAGCGTCAACCGCAGCACCGTCCTTGTTTCCGATCGCAAGCAGGCGCCGACCTTGTACCATCTCGGTCCCAAACATGGTCGTCGCCTTGAGCGATACGAACCCAATCGACCCGATACTGCAAACCGTCGTAATTCCTAAGTACGGCCCTCGCCCTTCACAAACCAAATACACACCTGAAATTGTGACCTATATTAGCATCAGAAATTAGAACTTTAGGATGTAACGTATAAATTTGTTGAAAATACGAATGAGAAAACATATGAAATAACATGTACGCCTGTTTAGCTAGCATGATGATTTATATCTGCATGTATTATTAAACCGTTCGCTTTAATCTAGAGAGATGGAGAACACAAAACAAGAGAAAAAACATTTACAGAGAAATTCCGTTAACGCAATCAATTTGGACATCGATAACAAAAAACTCAAAGCAAGTCAATTAGAGCTTTTTCCCCAGGGCGAAACCATACTGTTTCATTAATAAGAGTTTGACGAAACAAGCCCAAAGTATCAAAGAAGAACGATTAGAGGTTCCTGATTCTGAATTCTTACATAGGATGAGCAGGGACCTAGCAACCGAGACAAGAGGCACATCAACAAGCGACGATTGAAACCGATAACTCTTGAGCTGCGATAAAACGCCCACCGCTGAGAAAGCGGGATTAGATGCAGCCGACAGCAGCGCCGACGGAAGAAGCAAATCTAGAATCACAACAAGCAGAGGAGGAGCACAGACAAGAAGCAGAGAAGCCAACATGTTGAGAAGAAAGAAGAGGGTTTTGGCCCATCGCAGAATTCGACTCTCTTTGTACAAAGCCATGAGAATGAGAGCTAGCTGTTGCTAACTGAAATTTAGTTAATTTTGTTGGGATCGGAGATGCCATATATTCACAAGAGAGATAGAGAGAGGAGAGAGAGGACATATGAAATAATTTTATACGGTTGCGGGTCCTGAGTACATCGATATTATTATTGCAATCACGCCAGCAGCCGCGTAGAAACCGCATAGTTCGCGAGAAAGAGAGAAGAATTAAATTCGGCTGACTCGATAACTTTTGTGTGCCGTGCTACCACACGTTAGATTCTTCTATGGCTTTTTGATAAATTTGAGCTTTACTTTGTAAGAGAGCATTAATTAGTATAAGGAGGATTACTGGAAAAAAAAAGATAAGGTAATTTTCACATGAAAAAGCATAGGTTAGAGATTTAAGTTGAGCTCTAGAGTGTTATCTATAATATTAAAGTTACGGATACTACCAGTCAAATTTAAGATCCATGCCCTTAGATATCATCTACTATACATCAACTATCTAAAATTAAATTGTAAAATAAAAAATAAAGAGTGTTTGACCTTATGTATGTTATCATAATAAAATTTTGAGAATTTTCACAAAATTGATTAATCTTGACACATGCTTAAAAGCGAATAGAAATCATTATACATTTTGTTTCTACATAGACCATGTATGGTCCAATCAGATCATCACATCCAAAATTTTAGTTTTTATTCGAAGATTTCAACTTTAAATTTGTATTAACAATATTTACTTCTGGTATACTATCAGTAGTACTTTGAGCTCAATTTAGATATTTTTTCTTTTTTTGTTGAAAAACAATGAAGGTGATTGAAATAATAATAAGAATCAGAAATATGTTGTGCCATAGCATAATATTGTTTCTAAGTATACTTTATATATGAGTCTATCATCATGTATATATACCTGGAAGGTGTTGATAACTGCTAGAATAGTAAGAGTGTTTCGACTCTGAATGGGATCAAGTTTTTAAGACGAGATGCAAGAAGTGCATCCCTAGAGATGCCCAACTATATAAACATAATTGTGTGGCCGCAATTAGAGGAAGTAGGTTATTCCTTGAAATTATTCATGAAAAAGATAAGGACGCATGGCCATAATGCGTCAAACCTAAAAATTGCTTCTATAGCCTATATCGTGTTGTTACCAATGAATATCACCACATCAAAGGTTCAAGTTCAAGACATAGTTTCACTTCGTGCCTGTGGTGATAAAATTGGATAACTATAGGGAATGTTCTAATCGGAAGATACCTTCTCCGAAAGCATGATATGTCAAATATTTATTACTTTCAGCAATGGAATTGTGAGGGATTGTTGAAATAAATGAATTTTAGAGGGGTTTTATGAAATGATATCATTTAATGATTGGATTCCATAGATAAAAATTAAAATGTGTTTAATTAGTAGTATGTGAGTTTTAGTCCCACATTGGCTAATTAAATACATTTTAGTTGGTTTAAATTAACACACGTGTTATTTATGGCATAACAAAGGTGTTAGTATTATACACTTGTGTTGTTATATAAGCGAGCGGGCTTGGGCGTGCGAGTTCCGGCGTTAATTTAAACATGTAGTGCTTTAAAACACCTTAAACGTTTTGCATGTGCTCACTTAAAACCAGCCGAACGTTTCATACGTTACAAACGTTACAAGGATTGAGTAGGTTTTATTGCAGACGTTACAAACGTTGCAATAACTGGAATTCAAACATTTGTCTCCCATGAACATTATAAAAGGGCCTCTTCTGATCATTTGAAAGACATAAAATAGAAAACGAAATCTCCTGTCTTCTTCTTCTTCTTTCAATTCTAAAAGTTGTTTAGTATTTGAGATGAGATTCTGGCGATCTGAAGAATCAGTCGAGGTGTTCACAAGAAGAGAGCGCTTCTTTGGACTGTAGTCGTCTCATCCTCGGAAGTACTGTGTAGACCAAACGCTATCGTAGATGGGGCATAGTTTCTTCAATATCAGTCCTCCGTTAAAAGGGAGTTTCGGCACTTCTGTAAAGTATTTCGAACTTGAAGTATTTTTAATAAGATGTTTCTAACTTTCTGCTCTTTTCTTTCATTTCTGTAAGATTTATTCTGCACTCTTTTGAATCTGTTTTTATGTTTAATTTTCCCAACAGTAAGGACACCACCACCGCATCTAAGTAAAAATATTACTCGTTAATGCTGGATTTAATCTAATAAATCTAATTGTGAGCATATATGATTAATCAATGTGTATTGCTATCTTTTAGGATAACCCACTAAAGTGATCAATCAAGTTGGGTTAATGGGTATTTAAATAAGTCATGGGGTTATATGTGCAGATACCAGATTATAATTGTGATTTATTGAGGGGTCAAATTACAAAGTATAATATCTATAAATAAGGGGTTATGGTCCCTAATCTAGGATAACATTCTCTAATTCTCTTCACCCCCATCTAGAGAGAAATTCGGCTATAGAGAAAACCCTAAGGTTAGAAGATCCAAAACCCATCTCAGGTTTCATCTATGGATTCAGGTATAAGCTTCCGCTCTTTTGATTCTTGTTAATCTCTTTGAATTAATCATGGTTTTATGGTTTAGATCTCAAGCTTTTATTAGATCTAACAAGTGGTATCAGAGCCACCTTTGATTAATTTTTAGGGATTTAAGTTTTAAAATTGGGTTTTTTGATCTTAAATCTCTTGTTTTTTGGATTAAGATCTGTTCTCGGATGAACAGTAACGTTCGGATGAACAGTAATGGCTGTTGAAAATTTTCCCGTATGAACAGTAACGCTTTTTCGGATGAACAGTAGCATTTTTTCGGATGAACGGTAATTAAAAATCGACGGTGAACAGTAACATTTTTGGAATTTTTTGGATTTTTCTTTGATTTTTCTTGGATCTGGTTCAAGAAAAGTTTTTCCGATTCTGGATCTGTTTTTTGAAAATAAAAATCAAAGAATTTTTGGGTTTGATCTTCGGTCCCGTGCTCCTCGCCGGCGAAGGTTCGTTGGCGACCTCACTCTCGACTCCGACGGCGACGGCGACGTCAGGAAACCCTAGGGTTTTGACCTCTTGGGTGCCGGAGCAATGGCGGTGGCGGTTTCAGTTTGAAACCCTAAGGGTTCGTACGATTAATCATGGCGAAAATTAAGGAGGTGGTTACCTCAACCGAACTTCGCGTTCGTTATAAGGTGAGCCTCGCGCTCAATTTTAACGAACTTCGCGTTCGTTCTCATGTGAGCCTTGCGCTTAACTCAGGTGAGTCTCGCGCTCAATTTTAACGAACTTCGCGTTCGTTCTCATGTGAGCCTCGCGCTCAACTAAGGTGAGCCTCGCACTCAATTTTAACGAATTTCGCGTTCGTTCTCATGTGAGACTCGCGCTCAACTCAGGTGAGCCTCGCGCTCAATTTTAACGAACTTCGCGTTCGTTCTCTGGTGAGCCTCACGCTCAATCTAAGTTGAGCCTCGCGCTCAGTTCTCAGGTGAGCCTCGCGTTCAATCTAAGTTGAGCCTCGCGCTCAGTTTTCAGGTGAGCCTCGTGCACAATTCAAGTCGTACTCCGCGTTCATCCTCAGGCGAGCCCTGTGCTCAATTCAAACGAACCTCGCGTTCGTTCTCAAGTTGAACCTCGCGTTCATTTTTCAAATGAACCTCGCGTTCATTCTATATTCATTTTTTAACGAACCTCGCGTTTGTTCGCAAGTTGAACCCTACGTTCATTTTCAGACGAACCTCGCGTTCATGCTTAAGTGAGTCTTGTACTCAATATAATCGAACCTCGTGTTCGAAGTCAAGCGAACTTCATGGTCACTATGGTTAAGCCTCGCCTTTTCATGGGTCTACTTTGGTATACTTAATTAATTCAATTAAGTTATGGGTCCTAATTAAGCTTTGAGACCCCAATTAAGTTTTTTTGGAAATTCAGTTGATTTAAATTAAAAGGTTTTCATTTAAATCTAATTTGGTTTTCAATCAATTATTTAATGTAAATATTATGACACTAAGGTATTAAGATTTTCTCTCACTCCAATTGTTTAATTAAAACAAGAAGTTGCCAAAGTAACCTCTCTTGTGTAGATTGTTCAAGAGGAATGTGAGATGTTTGTGTGTATGCTTTCATGTAAATATTTAATCGGCCTAAAGGAAGATTAATATTTATTTAGACTGTATACACATCTGTGATGATAAGCGTGTGATAATTATAAGGTTTACATGTGAATAATGAATCGATCCAAAGATAGTTTCATTATTTGACATGAGTTATTGTCAATGTTTGATCATTGCAACAAGGTATCACTTACAAGTTAATATTACTGTCCAAAGACTTGATATTAATGTTGTGCCAGATATCTTGGATGGGATTCGTCATTATTTGAAATTTATTGATTAATAATTATGGTTATTGATGTGAGTAATTTTTGTTTTATTTGAGCTAATGCATCTGCTGCAACAATTTCTGCTAACATCAACTCAATTCCCATGCTAAATGGGACAAACTTCAAGGTTTGGAAAGAGAACATATTAATTGTTCTTGGCTGCATGGATCTAGACATTGCATTAAGAATTGAACAACCTCAACCTCTCAATGCGGATAGCACTCCTGATACAAAGAATGAATATGAGAAGTGGGAGCGTTCAAATCGCATGAGTCTTATGATCATTAAGCACGGCGTTCCAGAAGCCTTCTTGCTTCAAAGCTTAAGGTACTTAAACTCGATCTTTGTGATGAGTTATTGGTGCATCTGGTTTTGTTGTCAATTCCTACATAATTCAATCAGTTTAAGGTCAGTTATAACTGCCAAAAGGAGAAATGAACTCTAAATGAGCTCATTTCATACTGTGTGCAAGAAGAAGACAAGTTGAAGCAAGATAAGACGGAAAGTGCTCATTTGGCCTATGCCTCTAAGGATAAGGGCAAGAAAAGAAAGAATGATAATGAAGCTGCTAAGGGTCCAGTTCAGAAGAAACAACATAAGGATAATCAGGGTTGTTTCTTCTGTAAGAAGCCTGGACATGTAAAGAAGGACTGTACAAAATATCACGCCTGGCGTGATAATAAGGGTACGTTCCTTGCTTTGGTCTGTTCTGAGGTTAATTTAGCTTCAGTACCTAGAAACACTTGGTGG